ATTCAAACTTTCTGAAAATGCCAGCACTTGTACAGCATCAATAAAAAACATCACTTGTCTAAATTAATTATTGATCCAATGAGCCACACATTTCCATTAAAATATTTCCCTTTTCGGCATCAAACCACAAATTTGCTATGCTTAAAAGTTTTGAGCTATAATATACATGCATAGACATGGAAGGTCACAACCATTTTCATTATAACCAAAACCGGCCTTGACTAATAAACATAGCCCAGTACAATAAGTAACATATTCAGAGCACAACAGTTAGGAATTACCATATACCATATAGCTCCAAATTTTCGTCAGTCAAAAATTTCGTCAAAATCTTAATTTCTTGTTAAAATTAATTTTCGTCAATAAAAATTTTCGTCATTTTTGTTATTAATCCGCATGCTACCCACGTGGCACAAAAATTTCGTCGGTTAAAAATTTCGTCAAGCAAAAGTACCTGACGAATTTGACGAAAATTTTGACCGACGAAAATTTGGAGCTATACGGTACGCGGTAATTTCATGGTGTGTTAATTTTCGTTATTTCCGTGTTCACCTTAAATCCACAAAATTTAAACCACCTCTAATGCCATTCTATTGTATGTAGACTATGGCCAGAATACAAAAATTAGCTCACACGAATATTAATTTATGAGCACGTTTCATTGAAAACATGAAAATTTGAACGTATACGGTAGTACAATAATTTATAACACATGCAGGAGCTATTGAATAAAATGTAAAGTCAAAGAATAATGGAAAACACAAAATGATGTAGACATACAGGTACAAGTACAGTACGTGTAAGTGGGCACACAGTGTAAGTCACTAATTATGCTTACAATAAATACAATGTTAATAAAGAAACACTACATAATTAATGGTCATACAATTTTGTTCACAAGAGCCTGGTTGACTTCCAATAGAGGCTGTGGAGGGATTAGGGTCATCTATTTTAAAAATGAAATAGAATGCGGTGAGTCAATATTGTATGCCTCTTACCAGAAATATTCTCCTCTCCTCTAAAACTCATACCTACATTAACAAAATAAGAAAATGCAGTAACAAGTTAACAACATACACTAAACAACATACATGTACATGTACATGTACACAAACATGTAAAAACTAAAAAGCATTATAAATACATTTTAAATTAGTAGTTTAGTACAGTGCAGCCACTGGTTAGTAAGGCAATTTAAACAAGCTATGCATGAGTATAATATTTCACACACAAATCCTCTCAAGCATAGTCTACCCCCAATTTAATTAAGTAACATTTCATGGCCTACTCCCAATATAAGTAAATGAAGCAAGCTTGGGGTGAGCCTGAGCAAGCCCCATTAAGACAACACTCTTCTGTGTCTAAGTGTCTATACACATATGCATTCCATATCTCCTATATAATCACATGCCATAACAATGCATTAGCAATGTAATATAACTAGGTGAATGTAAAAATTGAGGGGGCAAGCAATGCCAAGCATAAGTCATCGATTGACATTTTTTGACTAACATTAAAATAAATAAATAAATGCCGCTCTTAGTCTAATGTGAAAGAAAAGAACATTATTCTCCCTTTTTTGTGAGACCATTACCCAAACCAGCATGCATAGTCAAATCCTGCCCTCATGATCGGGGTCTAAACAGAGCCAACACACCAACTAAAACAACTAAAATAACCCAGTAAAAAAGACTAGAAT